CTCTGTGCTACCTTTAGCTTTGCTCTGTGCTACCTTTAGCTTTGCTCTGTGCTACCTTTAGCTTTGCTCTGTGCTACCTTTAGCTTTGCTCTGTGCTACCTTTAGCTTTGATCTGTGCTACCTTTAGCTTTGCTGCGTGCTACCTTTAGCTTTGCTCTGTGCTACCTTTAGCTTTGTTCTGTGCTACCTTTAGCTTTGCTCTGTGCTACCTTTAGCTTTGCTGCGTGCTACCTTTAGCTTTGCTCTGTGCTACCTTTAGCTTTGCTCTGTGCTACCTTTAGCTACAGTTTTAGCTGCTCTCAGCTAGCCTCCTGGTTGTGTATGAGTCTCCAGTTCTGGTCAGAAGCCAAACATGTGTCCGTATCTCATGATCGATCAGCTTCAGCTCCAGAAGAACAGTTAATCCTGATGAATGTGAGCTCGTACAGAAAATAATCCTGGAATAAACGAAAGCAGGAATGTGACAAACATTTGGCCCTGCTGCAGCAGGAACCGGACTGACTGGAGGACAGAGGACAACGAGACGATTGTGCACTTATTCAGAGGCCGAGGCAACCGTGGGTGAGGTTACTGAGGTTGAGAGCTGCAGGAGGATTACTGTTAGTAAAATAACTTTACTGAGTTTCCTGCAGAGTGTCAGTCTGCTGTGGGTCTGGATGGAACTGGACTTTTTACACAGAAACTTAGAAACACTAAAGAAATTAATGTTTGGTAGATTATTTCTTCGTACCAATGCAACAAACCTTAAACTGCTGGAAACTCTGCTGATGTCTCGTTTAAATGGAGCCACATTTGTAAGGAACATGCCTTTGTGGGATGAAATGCTGGATGAAGAACGAGATGCCGTCCTGCAGCAGGGCCAGACTGTARTGGCTGTGTATGGTTCTTCCACATGCTACTGAGGCTCCTGTTTGTATTTATATAGCATCAAGTCACAACAAACGTCTCGGGGAACTGTACACAGAAACAAYGAATCTAAAGAAGCATCAGATTGTTGCATCTTCACTTCTTCAGTCTCCATCCCGATCAGAGAATACATTCAGTTAAATGTGTTGTTTCTTTAAACTTCAGTCATCCAAACAACAAACAACTCAACAGCTCAATTTCTCTCTGACTCAGCCAAACTCTCCTGCGGAGTTCCACAGGGTTCCATCCTGGGCCCGATTCTATTCCTCCTCTACATCTGCCCCCTGACTGAGGTCATCAAAAATTTCCCAGACGTCTCCTAYCATTTCTATGCAGATGACCTACAGCTATACAGACTCCACCACCCACAAGCTCACCTCTCTTATAAAATGTGTCACTAAAGTTAACCAGTGGCTGTCTGACAACTTGTTACTTTTAAA